AAGTTTCTCTAGTCCTATTTGGCGAGCGTAAATATCCGCTCTTACTAGCGTTCCTCTATCTATTCGGATAAAAATAAGATTCGTGCAGTAACAGTACTTCTGTGAATATTAATACTAATTTGTTATGTTATTTCTAGATTATTCTAAACAAAATTCTCGAGAAATATCGTGAAACTCACAAAACGATTTATTACAGAAACAAACTTGCAGCACTTAAACGTTTACCAAGCAAAACGAATTTCATTGTCAGAATGTTTAGTGCTATACTTTTGTCTCAATGCAATACATGAAGATTGGCATTGGCATTCCTAGAAATCGAAAAAAGACGTTAATGTTAATCAAACGTCGTCCGCCAATAAGAACTTCCAATAATGCGCTGGATTCCATAAATAAATGACCCATTTGATACTTTTCTAACCGTATAGTTGTGCAGAACTCTAATACAATTTTTTTCATGTTTGTTAAAACACCCAGTACTCCTGGACGGCGTGGCCTCGGAAACATATATTTGACCTAAAATTGGAAATTCTTAGAGGATTCATTTCTTAAGTTAAGAAGACGATTTGATTTTGTTTTAGGAAATCAGTCGAACCAAATCACCTTCGCCACACGGTCCGGCAACCTCATAGTTCAGAAAAAGGATGGAGGACTCGTTGAGATGGATTTCCCACAATATGATATAACGACGGTTCATTTTCTGGGCGTACCGAATCTTCTCGTGAAATACTTTTCAGAGGTAAGAGGCACTGATTCTTTGCGTTCTATTGTGTGAAAACCTGGATCTTGAAATCAGTGTGAATATTTACAGTTCGATGCTCCGCCATTTCTTCATGACTTGATTGAATGTCTTATTCCGTCGACAATCAGTGTTCGGGGTGTTGCATATGCTACCGAAGCCAAGAAAGTAATTATAGTGGTTGACAAACACACCACAAAGTAGGTTTCAACGATAGATCATCTTTGTGGAAGGTTTACATCCTTTCTCTTTCTTTTCGAAAAAAAAAACGCCTCTCAATCAATAAACTAAAAACGAATGAAAGTAAAAATTATTTCAGCCTCGAACTCGCTGAGATTTGCACTGTAAAATCTGAGAAAATGAGGGCGCTAGATCCCAATGGACATTTCGTACGTGGCGTTATCGTAACCCTTGCTCCAGCCAAAGCAGAAGCACAGGTTTGTTATCGAAAGCTAGTCAAAAGCTGAGGGTATAAATATGCCATTCAAAAGCTAGGATACGATTTTTATCCACTTGCGTCTAAATGGTGCCAAAAAGCAGCTCTACGTGGTTCACCAACAAACTCTCACTTGGCATGATCACTCATTAACGATATGAAGCTTGATTATTCAGGGCTTCACCGATTCCCAAGACGAACCGTATGACTACATTTGCCGTTATTTTGCACCCTGGGTAGGTATCACTGAAGATCCAGCGACCGGCTCGGCTCAATGCGCATTGGCACCTTTTTGGTCACCTATTCTGGGAAAGCGGAACTTGTATGGTAGGCAATTCACTGTGGTTGTTGTATCTGATACCTACTGTTACTAATCGTTTTTCAGCTTACCAATTATATCCCAACCGTGGCGCACAATTCAGAGTCGAAGTAAGAGATGGAAAAAGACTGGCCTTATTTGGGCAATCGGTAACATTTCTCAAAGGGGAACTATTCTTGAATGAGGCGGTATTCTATTGATTGTAGTTATTTCTACCTCTTATACGACAGTAATGATCGGTTGTTTCTTGTTATTTTGTCAAGCCCATAAACTTTTACTCTCCAGAGTATCTATGCAATTCAATAAGAAAGCCACTTAACAAACACTGAG